GGGGGGGTCTGATCCAGCCCCCTGCAGCCCTGGGTGCCAAAGCCAGGTCCCTGGGCTGGGGAGGGGGAGAGCGGCCAGGGAGCGGCCTAGCTCCAGCTCTCAATCCCCAGCCTTTCCCAGCCCTGCCTCCCCTCCTCTGCAGAGCCTGCCCCCAGCTCCCTCCCTCTCCCAGAGGGAAGGGAAGGGGGGGGGAGGAAGGAGGGAAGGTGGCACAAGGAGGGGGCAGCCTTTTCCCCTGCCCTGCTGGGGCCAGCTCAGGCTGCTGCAGGAGGGCCAAATAACCCCCCCTTCTCCTGAGCAGGCACAGCCCCCCACTCCTGTTCCTGGGGGGCCCCCTGCCCTCACAGGCAACCCACCCTTGCTGTTCCTGCTGTCCCCCTTCCCCTGCAGCTAAATCTCTCCCCCTTCTGCTGAGCAGCACAGCCCCCCCATTCCTGGGGGGGTCCCCTGCCCTCACAGACAACCCACCCTTCCTGTTCCTCATGCCCCCACCCTCAGAACCTCCCTTCTGTTCCTGGGTGTCCCCCACTCTCACAGCCCTCTGCCTCTTCTGTTTCTGAGGGGGGGGGCTGCCCTCACAGCCCCTCTACCCCTGGGCGTCCCCCACCTCTCACTGCCCCCTGCCCCTCTTGTTTCTAGGGATCCCTCCTCCTGTTCTTATTCCCTCCACACCGCCTTGCCCCTCCTGGGGGGTACCCCCTCTTGTTTCTGGGGGTTCCCCCACTCTCATAGCCCCCCATTCCTTCTGATCCTAGCCAGTCCCCAATCTCAGTTCCCCACTTCCCCTGGGGTCCCCTAGCTCTGGGGTGCTAGAAAGGGCTTCCCCCACTTTCCCTGGGGACCCCCCTTTTTTCTCTGCCCTTGAGGGAATCAGAGAGGGGTTTGCATTCACATTCACAGACCTCCCCACTCTCATGTACGTGCCTCCCCCACAGCCAGCAGCAGCTGCTAATGAGGCCTCTGAGGAGAACAGGAAACAGCCTGGTTCCTGGGATTCAGTGGGGTGACTGGGTTACCCCAGGGGCGGGGCTGGGGGGAGAAGAAAGTACAAATAAAAGTGAAAATGAAACTGAGATCAGGATAATTATGCCTGGGAAATTCTATCCTCCCGGACTCCTCCCTTCCTCCCAC